CACCTTAAGGACAGATTATTTATTCCATCTGCGTGTCAATTCCAAGAAGAAAAATCCACTTATTGGTAGAGTGAGAATGCAATATCGAACCAAAGTACCAACTTTTTTGTGAAGTGCGTTGAGCGGTCAATATAACACATCGGTCAATAAGTCCCGAGCCTAACCACCGTTTGGCGCCACTAATGAAATATCCACATGATTTTTCGAAAGTACCAACCTTCAAAAGATTACTGTCAAAATTTCATGACATTTGGACTATTATTTACCTAGTTACAGTGGTTTAAGTGACGCTACTTTTGTAATTTTCAAAACAATGGATTCAAAGCAATTTCGTGTGTTGATTTATCATTGCTATTTAATGGGTAAAAATACCGATCAGGCTGAGGAATGGCTTCAAAAGTGTTACCCGGGCTCTGCTCCATCAATTGCAACCATCAAACGATGGTTTGCCGATTTCAAACGTGGTCGTACGGACACCGATGATGCTGAACGCTCTGGTAGGCCAAATGAGGCAGTTATTCCAGAAAACATCACAAAAATCAACAAAATGATTATGGCCGACCGCAAACTGAAATTGCAGAAGATAGCTGACATCCTAAAGATATCAAAAGGCAGTGTGTACACAATTTTGCATGATCATTTGGGCATGAGAAAGCTGTGTTCGAAATGGGTGCCGCGTTTGTTGACACCGGAACAAAAACAAAATCGTGTCGATGATTCGGAGAGCTGTTTGACCATTTTTAAGCGCAATCCGAACGAGTTTCTGCGTCGTTATGTGACCATGGACGAAACCTGGGTCCACCATTTCACTCCGGAGTCAAATCGGCAGTCAGCTGAATGGACAGAAGCCGGTGGAAGTCGACCAAAGCGCCCAAAAACACAAAAGTCAGCTGGCAAGGTTATGGCCTCAGTATTTTGGGATGCGCACGGAATAATATTCATCGACTATCTTGAAAAGGGAAGAACCATCAATAGTGAATATTACATAGCATTGCTAACGCGTTTGAAGAAGGAAATCGCCAAAAAAAGCCTCATATGGCAAGGAAAAAAGTGCTCTTTCACCAAGACAATGCACCGTGTCACAAGTCGATGGTTACGATGGCCAAACTGCATGAATTGGGCTTTGAATTGCTTCCCCACCCGGCTTATTCTCCAGATCTGGCCCCCAGTGACTACTGGCTTTTTGCCGATCTCAAAAAAATGCTCCAGGGAAAAAGATATGGCTCGAATGAGGAGGTGATTGCCGAAACTGAAGCCTATTTTGAGGCCAAGGACAAATCGTTCTACAAAACTGGTATCGAAAAGCTAGAAAGGCGTTGGAATGATTGTATCACTCTAAAAGGGGACTATGTTGATGAATAAAATTGAATTTTGGCAAAAAAATGTTGTTTTCCTACTTAGGCTCGGGACTTATTGACCGATGTGTTATACACACACTACAGACACGCTATCATAGGATTTATACGGTTTGCGCGAGAGGCTTCTTGATTTTCGGCCATGTATACGCTTATGTGATTGAAATCTTCAACTATCACCACAAGCGTCGTGTCAGTAGAGCTCGTCTTATGTTTACATTGGAAATACTAGTGGCTAATATGTCCTGTATAATTTCAAATGATTATTTTAGAAAATGAGTTGCAATTTCGAAATGACGATTTTCGAAAGAAAATTTGTTCGAAATGGAGTTCCCAGTCAAAAAATTGAATTTTTGGAAATAATTTCGAATATCAAAAACAAAAGTACAGATTAACCGTAGCACTAACAATCTGCGTCATTTTTCATAAGGTGTCTCCGCTCGTATTAACTTTGTATTATGAATGTTAAGTTGAGTGCGACGCCCTTCAATGTAAAAACAATATTTACAAGTGGAGGATGATACACGGGATTTATCTGTACTTTCCCGAAAATGAATTCTAGATCGAACTATGAATTCTCGAAAATGAGTTCGAATTTCGAAATGATGATTTACGAAATTCAATTTAAAAAATATATTTAAAATTTCAATATTAGGCCCAAAGAACATTATTCAAAATTTTGCTTCATCGCATATGCGGTACGAGTTATGGGAGAAAAACCCAAACAACAAAAGAGTTTTGAGTTTATCAAGAAATTTTCATGCATATTTCTAAAAAAGCCGATATGAAATTCACTTCAGCGGTCGATAATAAGTATAAACAATATAAATTAGCGAACGAAATCGCGCTGATTGAATCAGCACTTTTTATCAACCGCTGAAGTGAATTTGATGTGCAACGTCTGTGTAAAGTGAATCATAGACCGAAACGGCTTCTCTTTGTATATGGTTATTTTCCTAGAAATTTATTGGCGACAAAATCAAACACAGTTGTTTGCAGCTATACAGCTATTCTAGAACTTTCCAAATGCTGTTTGGTATATTTTTGTTCTTTGTTTTGAATACGAAAATAAACAAAACAGCAAAGTGTCGATATGACACTTGTTTACAAACAAAGCATAACGGCAATTGATTTATCATTTGTTTCGTATTGTGCAATATTTTCACAAATGGCTACTTGTGGCTTGTAGACGATCTGTCGGCGATGTTCATTTGCCGGTAGCATTTCATCAAGTCAAGTCGAGTGATTTTATTGCCATAAATCAAGTGATTTTATTACATACGTTTAAAATCAAATTTTTTTAACAACGTGTGTCGAATGAATCATATAATATAATCCGTCTTTCCGATCATTTTGTCTTCGAATATTGTGAGAAGTCTGTAGGCCTAGGGTCTAGGAACAAGTTGTGTCATTCGTATGTATTCGCATATATTCATGCGTTCGTGGCTTTGTTATTGTTGTTATACACTCACTGCGCTGCGAATGTCCCGTATACACAATCACAAGAATTCACGAATATTCGTACGAATTCGTCTCAAGCGCTTGTGTTCCTAGCTGTAGGCTAAGTGCTTTTAGTTCAATATTTATAGAATTAAACGTGTGAAACAAAAACATTTATTAGCATTAGCAAATAATGGAACTTAGAGTGAACAAAAGTTGAACGAATTGCAATTCAACTGTTATTACTAAATAATAAATCAAATATAGATTTTTAAACGTCGAAATTTTGATCAAAATTGCTCTATCCATTTCTTTTCATAAGAAAGCAACTTGAGAAGTAAATTTTAAATTGATTGTTACACCATCGATCAAATGTAAAAAAATCGATTTCTTTTATTTCCAGATATCTGAAGTTAAATATTGGGTAAAATGGCCAATAGTAAAATCGTTCACACACAATAGTGAGGAGTTAAGTTGTATACTAAAGTGTCATAACCAATACATTCAAATATAGTTGACATATACGAATGGGATAAAGTTCATCGCAAAAGCAGATGTCAGCACCAACAAATATACACAAATGAGATGACATCTATCCCATTCGAATATGTCAACTATATTTGAATGTATTGGTTATGACACTTTAGTATAAAACTTAACTCCTCACTATTGTGTGTGTTGAAAAGGCTTAACCAAGAAACGATGTGAGCTACATTCTCTACAGCCAGAATGATGTCGCGCAACCAACAAATCAACTGAAGTTAACAGATCTTTTCGACGATTGCTTCGAGGATATTTTCGTTTACTTGACTTTCGCCGATCTGCTAAATATCTCCGAAGCGAACAAAGAATTGTAATCAACTGCAAACCAATATTTTTCCCAAAAATTTGGCAAAAAAAGAATCGACATCACCATTTCAAAAAGCAATGGAGGTGAATATAACATTTTGGAACATTTCATCGGTGTTTCAAATTTGAAATCTGCCCTACGATTGTTGCGTTGTTTCGGCGCTGTGATTGCGAATGTCTACGTTAGCCATACGTATCCGTTTCCAATGGGTCCAACTCGTGTCATTCGATATGTGAACGAATATTGTACAGATTCATTGGTCAAAATGAAATGCTCGAACATCTCAAAAAATGGATTTGAGGGGTTGGAAAAATCGTTCACAAAACTCGAAACGAACAAAACATTACATTTGACAGTAAAATATCAATAGAAATTTGTGAAAGCATGGGCAAATGTATGCCAGTGCTTGAAAGCATTCATTTCAATCTTTTTCCCGACGATTTAACAATGTTCCATGGTGACGCAGTTCATTTTAAAACAGTGAAAAAGTTAATCATTCGTTTCTTTAGCAGCAACAATTTTCCGCTGCCCGAAATTCCATTCTCGTTTGATCAACTTGATGAGTTTGATTATCAAGTGGATCAGAATTTCGTTGACTTTCTTAAAAATAATTCATCCATCACGAAATTCAGTTTAATCACATCATGCCAGAAACGAAAAATAAACGAAAATGAAATGAAAATTGCTCGTAATGCGTTGCACTTTTTAGATCAATCCAAACAGTTGAAAGAGTTTTGCTTTCGACTTGCCAACGCTGACGAATTTTATGACTTAGAAAGGAATTTAAATAACGAATGGCAAGCATCCATCAATGGGAACTATATTAAAATTGAACGTTCAATTAGCAAAAAGCAGCATACGCTCAATCCGTTGAATGTTATGTCCAAAACAATAACAGAGGATGCTTTCCATTTTTTTTTTTCAAAGTTTGTATTCCATTTGCCATTTTTTGTATATTACGACGAAAAACACGATATTAATAAAAAGTTAGAAAGAAAAATTGTTTTTCATTCGATAAAAAACGTTTTTCTATCCTAAAATAAAGAATACAAGCGAAAGACGTTTGTGGTAAAAAAAATTAACCAAAATCTGCAAAACATGCAAGTTTTGAGGTTCGTTGTCATTTATAATCGCCAATTTGTTGTAATATTCGTCACAAGAGTGCGTTTGATGGCGTTTTACTAGTCATTGTGCTGTCATTTAACGATTAACAGTAAATGTCACTGCTAATGACTGCTTTGGAGTTATTATTACTTGGAAAAAATGGTTTTGAAAAGAGTTTCACCTACAGGTACTGCATACAAGCGTCTGACAGCTTACTTCTAGCGCTGCGAAACAAGTGTCAAAAGTTGTGGCTTAGATCGTTCAATGTTTACTGCAAACTATTGCATCTTTTTTATATTTGTTAATAAAGTAGACAACAAAAAAATAAAAATGTCACGAATGTACAAAATTGATTTTTGTGAGAGCGTGTTCACAAGTAAAAAAAATTGTTTTTTATTACAGAACATTGTTTATGAGTTCATTCAGTCGCGTTCATGAGTGCGTCTAACGACGTAAACGAATTGAAATAAACTTCACTAAATGAGTCCATCGGAAATTCGTGTTTTACTTTTGTTAGTGTTATGCATAGGTTGCAGTTTTACCATTGCTTATCAGTTGCTTACAAACCTTTGGAAAAACACGACGTGTTTTAAATTTACCTTTGACGATTAAAACTACGATGAATTCAATTTTAATAACTGGTTGTAGTCGAGGACTTGGCTTGGGTTTAGTAAAGCAATTGCTCGAATTAAGTGATCCGATTAACTACATTTTTGCTACATGCCGAAATCCCGATGGAGCCCAGGTAAATTGAGCCCAGGTTTTATATTTATTCGTGCTTATCGAGATATTTTGAGACTATCGACGTGACTTCAATGAGTTGTGAATTTTCAACAATTTGTATTTCGAAGAGTAGCTTGATTCCTCTCACATTTTCCAACGAATTCGATTATCAATGTATTTGTTGAAAAAAAAAACATCGAAAAGTCCTTCAAATAATTTATAGTCTCACGCCTTGTCATACTCTCCTGCAGGAACTCAACGAGTTGAAAGCAAAACATGGCAATCTACACGTTTTTGCATTGGGTAAATATTTTCATTTTCGCTATTTCGAACGAATTGGTTCAATTTACTGTGAGTTCCTTTGTAGATGTCACCGATTATGCTAGTTTCGATGCACTGGTGAAGCAAATTGATGAAATCGTGAAGGAAGAAGGGCTCAACGTGCTCATCAACAATGCCGGCATATATCCTAGTGTAGCATCATTGAACTCTGTTGTCGCTGATGATCTGCGAAACATCCTTGAAACGAATTCCATCGCACCAGTTATGGTGACGAAGGTTGGCTTTTTAAATTAATTGTTGACTTCATAGATATAAATCCATTTATCCATATTTACCCCTAAAATATTTTATTCGACTGATAATTTAATAAAAAATCGCATTTTCAGGCTTTCATTCCGCTGCTGCAGAAAGCATCCAAATTCAATGACACGAAAACGATGGGAGTGCATCGAGCCACGATTGTAAATATCAGTTCAAGTGTTGGTTCAATCGAGAATGTGCGCTCGGGCAGAAGTTATGCATATCGTATGTCCAAGGCAGCTCTGAATATGGCAACAAAAACAATGAGCGTTGATTTAAAAAAGGATCGCATTTTGTGCATCGTAATGCATCCAGGTTGGGTGCAAACTGACATGGGCGGATTGAGTGCTCCACTCAAAATCGATGATAGCTGCAAACAAATGGTTAACACCATTTTGGCTTTGAATGAATCAGAAAATGGCACGTTTGTTCAGTTTAATGGCAAATCATTGCCATGGTAACCTGGAAGTAACATTTGTATAATGATTTGAATTTCAAGAGTTTTTTTATGAATAAATGTTTTTCAACCGTGACAATGCATGTTTTATTAGGAGAAGCAGTATAAGGTTAAAGCCTTGTGAACTTGTGATCAACTACATAGAAATTTTTGATGTTTTTAACACAGAAACACTTACAAATTGATTTCATCTTATATGTATATGTTCTAGACTTGCCGTCCTTTATTTTTTCATTATATATTCTTGACCTTTCCAATTGGTTAGAGTTTTGAACATCATGTAGTAGGAAAAAACTGCTCGAAGTAATTAAAGATGGAAAGCAAAGTTTACACTTAATTAAACTCGATTCAATGCCTAAGAACATTTGAACCCGTGAGCATAAAAACGACTTATGAAAACGTCGCCAAACAAAGCGAAATACCAATTTGTTACTCGTTCAATTCAGAACAAATTGTACACTGGTATGTTACGCCGACAAATCTATGTTACGTTTTGATCGGCTATTTTTTTTAAAGTCGTTTTTATGCTCACGGGTTCATTTCTGAATAGCCTCTAACTCTTGTAAATGTTTCCAAATTCAAGATGGCAACTTCGGACCTATGATAATACACAGGCAATTGTGCATTTCCAATCATGATAAAGAGATATTTCTGCAATTTCAACGAGAGATTTTGCCAATTGGATTCAAACAAACAGCATTGTTGCATAGCTTTCGGTAGAAAACTACGGTACGTAGAAAATTGAACGACATAAGCCCAAAATGAAGCCTTTAGTAACGAGTCACCATATACTAATGTGGCGTCTTTAAACTTTCTGAGGTTTCATTTTTTGGAGAAAAGATAAGATTCTGAAAGTTTCATGTTGATCGCATTTGTAGAAGTTTGGTTTTTGGCCCTCAATATTTTCCAAGAAAATGTCGACAAAATTTGAGGACAAAAAATCAAACTTCTGCAAATGCGATCAACATGAAACTTTCAGAAACTTATTTTTTCTCCAAAAAATGAAACCTCAGGAAGTTTGAAGCTAATCAGAATCGACTAACGGTTACCTCCCATACAAAATTGCCCGAAAATCGGTAATTTTAGTCAAAATTTCAAAAATTTTGTATGGGAGGTACCCGTAAATCGATTCCGATTGGTTTCAAACTTTCAGAATCTTATTTTTCTCCCAAAAAATGAAATCCTAGAAAGTTTGAAGCCAATCGGATTCGATTTACGGGTACCTCCCATACAAAAGTGTCAATTTTTTGAGGTTTTTCTTAGGGCAAGTACCCCAGGATCAAATCGAAAATGGCTCATCTTCGAACTTAAACTAAGTTTTTTGAATACAAAACTTTTGGCATTTCCAGACTTTGATTATCTCAATTATTTTTTGAGTTATCGTGTTAACAAACACCAACGACGACAACGACGACAACGACGGCACACGAACGGAAAAGTGTCTCAAAAAGTGGTTTTCTACGCGTTTCATGAGTTTTTATGATGATCTAAGCTAATTTTGCGAAAAAAGTTTTCGGGACCAATTCCAATACTTTCCCTTGACACGTTGTGTACGGAAAAGTAATAGCTTTTGAGGTATTTTGAAGAATAAAAAAAAATCTAACCGCAATTTCTATTTTGTATCACATGTGAATTACAGGAATGGAAGCAATCTCGATGACAGCCATGAACATGATGCCGGACATGATGAAAATGATATGGAAAAAATGTACCCAACGATGAAAATGGGACCAATGCGTCGTCCAAAAATGACCATGAACCAAATGTTCTGGATGATGTAAATTTATTCATTTAAGATTATTTGTAATTGAAACAGTTTGTGTATTCGGCATAAATTCAAGCTAGCAAAAGTTTGTGGTTTAACGAGAAGAATTCACAGTTTTTTTTTGTATTATTTGACTTCATTTTTGATCATTTGGCTTAATATGTTAGAACTAACAAAAATTAATCGAAGTTCAATCATCAGTTAATGCTCATTTGCCCATCTATTTATATCAGCGTGATTTGTTTATCAGCGAGATGTGCGATTTTAGAATGTGAAAATGCACAATTTTAAAAACGTTTTCATCACTACTAGAATACAATTGACTGTATATTTTGCATGATGCTTCAACGAAGCCATATACATATATTTACGAAGAAATGTTGGCCTGCAAAAATCTTATTGCATAATGACTTATTGTTCATTCCATTTTTGCGCCGAGAATGATTGCAACACTTGGTTTATCCAAGTCAATTGGGAATTTGCACAACTGTGTATACACTCTCGCATTGAGCGGCAATTTAATCCCGATTGCTGCGTCTACAATTCATCGCTTAGTATGAAAAAACACACGATCAACGCACGATCAATGCAGTTTGTGTGAAGTCAACTGTCATTTCAGTGAAGTTGAACAATTTCATAACTTACATTGTGTTCACAATATTTAGTTAAAAATTGAGTTTATATTTTGAATTAATCACGCCGTAGATGATTATTTTCTTTCTATTCATAATCTCTTGAAATTGATTGAGTTTGAATTGAAAAAGAACACTTATTATGGCCATTCTTCGAGAATTTCGTGCATTTGTGTGACACTTGAATTTGAAACTTAACCCTCTAATGCATTAATTTTTCCCAGGGCTAGGAGTACTGGTACTTGGTTGATTTTTGGCCATAGATATTCAAAAAAATATTCATAATCCTGGATTCCTCATGGTTTAGTCAGGAAAGGCGATTGACATAAATCAGAGAACAATCAAATCCATTGTTTAAAAGTGTCAAAAATGTGTCTAATTTAAAGTTCGAATAATTTATTTTGTCAAATTTTTGTTTTTACACACGTTTTTGTTTATAAGTTTACAATCACACTACATAGACAAATATTGCCAATGACAAAAATAAAGAAAAAACATTGACAAATAAAAATTTCTTTTGAAGCAATGTGATCCGATGTACGGTTAACGTTCTATAGGCGTTCAAATGTTGCCCGTCTAGAGGCGGTTGTATGCATTAGAGGGTTAAAATGAAACCTTTACTGTGATTTTTAGGTATAAATTGAGAAAAGAAATGTTCGAAAATCAGCTTTGAATGTAGTGTGATTTGTTATAGGATCCAGGATTAAATGCAACTGGTTGTTTCTTAATTTATTTAGACATTAATGTTTGTGCTATCGTTTGTGTTGTTTATCATCAAAGCACGCACAATTGCCATCTCAAGAAAATAATAAAAAAAATTTGTCATCAAAATATAATTATTTAATCAACAAAACATCGTATTCCGTTGGACTATCGACAAAAAAGTGGATGTGTTGCAAATCATTAATGAATCACAAAACATCCAGGATCGAACCATGAACGAAAAAATCATCTTGCTTTAGCTTTTTATTTAAAAAAAAGTTGTGTTTTCCTGATGTTATGATGAATTCATGTGTGAAATTTGATACCAATGAAGGAATTTAATAAATTTAGTGCATAAAGTGGGCGAAATAACGCATAAACAATTTGATGTCCGTGAACATCAATATTGGTGACAAGCAAGCTTCATTTTTTTTCACTACGAAGTACACGGGCGCTTTTTGCAAGTTTCTGCATGTCACCATCCTGGTACGATTGCTTTTTGCTTTCCCATCTTTATTCGTCGCTAGTCGATATTTCTTGTTTTATTTTTGAATGTCAAGTTCACTGTGTAATCTTGAATCGTAAGTATTTCTGCAGTAAGTTCAAAAAACGTTGGGAACCCCTTTTACGTAATCATATGCCAATCCGGTTTTCTCTGTATAAAAATCCAGTTCTGCCATAGAAATATATTTTGCACTACATAAGGAATGCAAACAGTAAAAAGAAACGTCAGAATCAGTAAAATACACGATGAAGTGAAATTTAATTATTGGAAAAAGTTTTTTTTTGCATTGTGAATTTGCATGAACGTGAATTTTTTGTTTCAAAATATGATCGAATAGCGAAATCGATTGGGAGAAGATAAAAAATGAAATGTTTTCCAAAGTGTACGTGATCGAAAAAGTAATGATATTTGAAGAATTGAAAGACTGGCATGATATTTAAAAATTTTAAATTAATCTACTCAATCGCGGAAACTGCAATCCTTTATGTTTTTCGGACTTACAATAACATTCATCGTAATGAGTGTTTGTATATACCGATTTTTCGGTCTACATTTCGGTATTTTTATGGAGTTCGTGTTTAAACAACGATTTCAATTGGGCATAAAAATTCATTTTGTTTGAAACTGAAAAATCGTTTATTCGCATAGGTGACGTCAATCTCGTTGAAATGCTTCCTAGAGCTGGTACTAATATCAATCTTAAAACTGATCTGGGATGGACACCGCTGCATTCAATGGTAATTTCCAAGGCAATTATTCTCATGGTACGTCAAAGTGAAGAGTTCAACGAGATTAATGCCTATGTTATAGGTCACTATGGAATCGTAACGATGCTAATCCAAAAGGGAGCAGACGTTAATCTCAAAACGAATGATGGCTGGATACCATTGCATGCTTCTTCATATAACAGTAAATATGGAAATGACCATCAAAGTTATCCAAAATTGACGGAAATATATTTCCAATTTTAGGTCATGAAAGAATTGGGGAGTATTTAATAGAAAAAGGGGCCAATGTGAATCTTAGGAACAATCGCGGAAATACAGCATTACACGCTGCTGCCATGGAAGGTTTCTCAATCACTCACTCATTAATTACAATCAGAATTAAAAGGGGAATATCTTTTTAGGTCGTGATAACATTGTAAGAATGCTCATAAAAACAACGATGAATGGACTTCATTGAACATTGCTGCTTGGCATGGTATACCATTTGAATTTGTGCCATTGCTCTCTTGATTTCTACATTTTAAACCGTTTGTTCGTTTATGCAGGTCATTTCAAAGTCATTGAAGCTTTGGCCAAAAATGGAGCGAGCATTGATATAACGGACAAAAACGGAAAAATACCAATCTACATTGCCACAGGAAGAAGTAAAATTCATTTTGATTCCTTTATATCTCATTTGAATCAATGAGAATTTCCATATTTTTTAGGTCACAAGAAAGTGGTTGAGGTTTTAAATAAAATTGTTGCCGATCGCAACGCTCAAACTGATGAAAATAGTGGAAATGATTTTGCGGCTACCAAAAATGGTGACTAAACTAGAACAAAAATATCAAATGTAGAATATTTTTCATGTTTCTTTTCTAAATGAAAATTTTTTCCCCTTCAACCAACATTTTTTTCGATTTTCTTCTTATTTTTTATGGAAAAAAAGATCACTTTGAATCAATGAAAATTGTTGATATGCAATCTAATTTCTTTCCAGTGTAATTTTTACATTGTGAATTTTAATTTCTTCTCACAACAGCTTGCCAGATGTACTCCCAACCGAAAATATCATTCACAAATGAATCCCGAGAATTTCCATGGATGGTAAACTTGTTTGACAAACTTTTTAAACTCACAATTTGAATTTTTCTCCGAAAATTCATCGAAATTCACATTTCTTCAATGTTTGCAGGTTTCCCTTGGTTATCTCAGCCCTCCACTCTCCCGGTGGAGTATAAATGCGGTGGCACAGTTTTATCTGAACATTTGGTATTGACAGCGCCGCTGTCACAGCGGCCCATTGTGTTAAACCAAGTGTACCGATTGTGGTACGAGTAGGAAAAGTAAGCAACGTTTTTTCCTTTCATCTTCAACATTCTAATGTCAGAACAAGTCGTATTTTAGAAAAAGATGAAATTAAATTTAAGATTGAATTCTAAACCCCATTTTTCCACGAATATAGCCAAGAAATCCGGCCGGAAGTGATAACGTCACAGTGATGAATATGCAAATACAGGTAATAGAATCATCCACTTTCACTTAACGGTTGAATTAGTGTTCTCTTCCAATAAATAAAAGTAATTATTAGTGTCCGCAGTCGGGGTTGAATCCAAAAACGGTCCGTGAAAATGTTTGAAATTGAATTAATACACAAATATACCAAATAAGATTTTGTTGTGTTGGCGATGTGCGCTTTCAAAAAATAATACTGCCGAAAGTAGGACGCAACTCGCCACTGAAAGCTGTAGAGAGTACGTATTAAAATCGTAGTGTAAGTCTACTAAGTTGCGGTGTTCGTTTTGGTTGCACTCTTCTCTTTCGCAGAATGATAAAAATGAAAATGCGACTGTTTACATCGAAGGCGTGAACACGACTAATGCTTTTAATGTCAATACTTAAATGCTACGCAGTTTTTTTATTGAAATGATTTATTTTCAACATGGGAAAATCCAAAAGAACTGTAGATGATTGTCGGGTTTTGGGGTTTCGCGGTTTCGGGATTTGACCCCCAACAAATAGTTCATTTGTCTTTAATATAATGCCACCTAAGTTGAACATTTTTTATCTATCATTTTTGAAGTCATGGATATCCCCAAAAAATTATTATAAGTATACAGTTTTTGATTTTCAAAGTGTAAATTGCGTTTATCTCTAATGTGAGAGCCCGACACGGACCCGACAATCCCCCGAATGCGAACACTAGTAATGATAGCTAAGGGATAGACACGAGTAGCATATTAGTAAATATTAGAACTTATTAGAAACCTTTTGACAGCATTGAAAGTACACGTTATATGAAAAATATTAGAAATATTAGGAAAAATTAGAAGAAATTCAAAACCGTATCTACCCTCTAGAATTATGCTTTTTTGATGCTTTTTATTTGGAACAGGAAATTATGCAACACCCGTACTTTTCGATTACAACCCTGAAAAATGATATTGCCTTAATTCGTGTTCAATATTTATTATTGTAAGTATTATCAG